CCCAAAAGGGACCCGAATTTGGAGAACTTTGGACATGGGAACGAGGTCGCACCCTGGGGTTGTATGTTTTCCAAGCTGTACTACAGTAGTTTTAGCTACAACCAGACATCTGTCATTATGCTAGCAATCTCGTAGCAACGCCCCTTAAGGCTTTCATTGTCCTAAATCCCTTAGTTACCCACCCCCCTCCCCAAGGTTCAACGATTCTCATCAGTACGGCACCTATAGCAGGTGGTACGTAGAGGAGTTAGAGGCTGTGCTATATTTGGGGCTTTGCTCGTTGAAGAAGGTGCCTTGCAGCTTGAAGCGCGATAACTGCAGGCCCCGACACGCTAAACCATAGCTAAAAGTCTTGAGCCCCTACTAACTGCAGGCAACAAGAAACCCTGAAACTTTGCCCTGCAAAGGTTTGCAGGGCTTTGCCCTGGGTATGCTCTTTCGGGCGCAGGGTTAGGCTTGGGGTTTGGACTTGCTAAAGCCACTCTGGTTTATAGTTCTTGGATTTTAGAAGTGGGGGGGGGGTTTGGCAGAGGGATGTCGGAGTAGAAGCTGCAAGGGCTTCGATTTTGGGAGTTGGGCTTCAGGAATGCTGCGAGACTTGGCGGCCGTACAGAGTTTGAGGCGTGTAGTACGTCGTGTAGGTTTAGGCTTTAGAGTTTCAGGTTCTGGGATGTCTCATTTGAGAGTTGCGGTTTGGACCATGCTGTATGGTTGCTGCAATCTAACTAGCCCGCTGCCTTGATGCAACTTGGCCTGCAAATTCCCAACTTTCGCATTCTAAAGACAGATGCAGAAGCCGTGCGAGGCTGAAGTGCTTTTTGCCGAGTTAGCGAACTAGCAGATGTTCATTTATGGATTGTTATCAACAGCGGGGCTGCGCATTGGGAGTCTTTGCGGTGAGGCTGTTATTAGGTAGGCTCCCATGCTGCAGAAACTAGCATCGGATGCAGCTCACACTCTTTTCTTTAGACGGCAGAACTATTAAGGAATTAAGCTTCCTCTTGAATCCATATGTTTAAACCTTCGGCTCCTGAGTGAGGGGGATGAGCAAGTATGGCTACAAGAAAGTAAGCACTGACTCAGTCCCCTGATCCGCGAAAACTCACCCCTGCACCATAAGCCGTTGAACGGTAGATCCCGCACCCCAAAACCTGGAATCTGAAGACCCATAAACCCATCATCCTACGAACAGCCTTGAAACCGAAATCCTTCACCCTCCTTTCAGGGTTCCTCTGTTCCTTTGCAGGGCTCCCCTATAGGGCTCTGTTCTCCCAGACAGCCCGCAGCGCCTTGAGGTTGTGAAGCTGGAAGACAACTACTCTCAGGTCAGCTTGCGCAACGGCGTAGACCTATCAGTTTTTCAGGACCCGCTTTTGCGGCTTCGGGCTCCCAGGAGCCCAATGCCAAATCCCTGAAGCCCAGAAGGCCCCATAAGCATCTACCTGTAGGGTTTAGGGTTTAGGGTTTAGGGTTTAGGGTTGGAGCCTTCAGCTACTCTCTATCGTGACAGCAAGGGCTCTGTCAAGGGTACCCTTAAGTCATGGCAGACTTGGAACCCCTCAAGTCGAGGATTCAGGGCTGAAGCCGGCTCTTAAGGTTGAAAAAACGGCTCCAAAGGTTTCGACACATGGCTCGCGAGATCCCAAACAACTCCGCTGGTTTCGGGTTTAGGGTTTATAGTTCCTGGTGCCTTCCACATCCCAAGTTTCCCATATGCCCTGAACATCATGTTGTATAACTTCACTGCTGTTGCGCAACCTCAAGGCAAACTCAGCAAAGCCTCGAACTCCCGCCTAAAGCCAGAATTGGTAGCACTTGCAGGACACCGTGGCAAAGATCCATGAGCATGCAGAGGAAAACTCGCTAAAGATCGCTTCCGTAGATCGCAACCAGGCACCCCGCCTCCAAAGTTTCAATCCTGGGGTAGGGTCTGTGGCTTTAAGTTTCAGTGTTTTTGGTGTGGTCATCGTTTCGGAAGTTCCAGGATCTGCTCAGGGATTAGGGTATGGTTCAAGGTCGCTTAGGATTTCAGAGTAGTTGGGTTCTTGGATGGCTCTCAGGAACTACAGGGTTTGAATGAAATTGATTGCTCAACGACTCCCTCGGCTCCCCGCCTATACAACCCGACACGGCCCATCGAAAACCCTACAGAGCCCGTGTCAGAGATGTCGATATCGAATTCAGAGGCGACCAAAAAGCACCGTAAGTTCAAAGCGTACACCCCATGCCGCCCTCAGTCCCTAATGTGCTTTGGAACCCTGCCGCCGAGCAAAACGCAATTGACACTTAGGATTTAGGGTTTATTACCAAAATCAGACTTTGGCAAAGCACGAACCAGATGTACTTCTCGAAAGCTCGCGTACAGAAACCCAAGCAAGCCCTAAACCGAGACCGTACCAAGGCAAATTCGGCGCAACAGGTGGATGTGCTCTCCAAGCCGTTTGGTGCAATCACGGGTTGAAGGTTCCCGAACTTGTATGGATTTGGTTGGGCAGGCGAAAACCCATCAGCGCCCTGGGCGATTTGAATCCATATTACCGAGGGCATGAAGGTCAAACGCTAACCCCAAAAGTTAAAGCGTCGTATCTCAGCATGAAGTACAACCGAAGATGATACTGCTGAATCATGGCCATTCTAGCCGAACCGCGGTAAAGAACAGAACGTGTTTTCTCGCCACGAAGTACCACACCATCGTAAAGCTTGTTCTAGAAACATACGAAAAACGATTCCTAAGCCCTAGGAGCTGCAAGCCCTAAACCCTATGTAAGCTCAAGGCCGGCAGTGAATCTGGAGTTTAGGTTTATGGTGAAGTTGCGGCTAAGACTGCACTTCGCTTTAACACGTTGGAGTGTTGGTTCAAGTCTCTAAACCCTAAACCCTAAGCCATATAAGCCTAAACACTATAGCCCTAAACCCTACACCCTAAAAGGGTTTGGAGAACGCCTTCAAGCCTGCAGGCTGAGTGCTTCAAGCCCTGCGCTAAAGAGCTAGGAGCCCCGCTCCACGAACGCATGCAACAACTCCCTAACATAACCCCCAAGATCCTAAAACCTAAAACCCCAAACCCTCGAGCCCAAAAGCCCGAATGCCTTCAAGCTTTGAAAAGCCCCGAAGACCCGAGAACTTCAGCGTCTTTCTCAGGACCCTTGTGCACTTGGAGGAGGCCATCCAAAACTTCGACCATCGGGCCACAGCCCCTCAGTCAGGGCGCAGGAAAAGCTTTTTTGGGGGGAGGTTTGATGAGGGTCCACTTGAAACTTTTGTATGGTTTAATTGAGGATGTGTAGGATCCAGGGTGTTAGGAGTCTGGCTTTTTTTGTTGAGGAAGGGTTTCTTGACGGAGTTGAGGATCACCGGTTCCTACGAGGGCCACTGGGGTTTTAGATCGGGTCATAAGGTTCAACCTGCCCCCGCCAAACCAAGCTAAAACCCTACAGCCTGAACTCCCTGAAATTCTTCAAAACGGTGGAACAACCACCCGGAGCCCAGAACCTAAGCTCTAAGCTTCCTGAAATGAAAGGTTGCTCCCGAATTTCGACACCGAGAACCTGAAACTCTAGATCTCCTTGAGTTCAAGACACTAGACCTTCAACCCCAGACCTAAAACCCTGAACCCTCAACTTCCCTAAATGGCTATAGTTCTCCAAAGTCGGGTCCCCAAGTTTTGGGTTCCCGAAATAGTACGGCACCATTAAAGAAAGAGGACCCCAAAAGGGGCCCTAATTCATAGAACTACCCCAAACGAAAGACTGAACCCTAAACCCTAAACCCTAAACCCCTAAACCCTAAACCCTAAACCCTAATTCAAAGAACCACCCCAAACGAAAGACTGTGGAGTCTCCGGGAGCCCAGGTGATCGACGGCGAAGTGCAGGATTTGCACTTCTGGCAGCATCCTGGCGGACATATGTGGGCAGTTCTCCACATTATGGTCAGGGTCCCTTTCTAGGTCCCCAAATGGGAGTTTCCGAAAATAAGGGGTACCATATTTTGGGGTCCTTATAATATGGATCCTATTATTTAGGGTGCTATATTTGGGTCCCCTATTTTCGGAAGCCCCCAAATAGTATATGGCCCTAAAAGGGGGGCCCTGATTTCGAGAACTACCCATGTCGTGTCTAGGACCTAGGTTTTCTGGTCTAGGGCGTTCGGTTCATGCCTCAGAGCGGGTTTCGGTAGCGTTTGTGTCTTCAGAGATCGAATCTATCGCTGGGTGTTCAATGCCGAAGAACTTTGCCTTTCCTGATCCTCGAGCCTCAAGCCGTTTGGAGGATTTAGCGGTGCCTGTTTCAGGGCTTCGTATTTTGGGGTTTGGGGACTGAGCCTTCGGAGCCTTGGAGCTTCTTTACCCCGCCTTTCAGTTCAAGAAGGATTGGACTTCAGATCCAACTTTGGTTCTAGTGCTTTATGTGTTCGGAAAGGCTGCTGCCTCGAAGGACCTTGGACCCCAAACCCCAAGCCCACTCAGCTCTTCAACCCTGAACCCTGCAACTCCCCCCACTGGAAACCTTACCTCACCGGCTAAGCGCTGCAAGCCTTAACCCTCAACCCGTAGCCCTAATAGCCCCATAGAGTGCAGTCCCAACCGTAAACCTTAAACCCCCATAAACAATCGAACTTTTCGCCCTCAACCCTAAGCCTTGGAGCCCTACAGGACGTAAGAAGCCTAAAACTTGAATCCTAAGCCACCTGGCGGCCGTTTACCAACTACGGAATGTTCCCCATGATGTAGGTAGGGGCCTTCCTTACGCCAACAAGATTCCTCGACCTAAGCTCTATACTCTCACGAAGATTCCTTCATTCAAGGGTTTCGCAGTGTTTGGATCAACCCGGCAGGCACGGGGCGACGGAGAAGTTCGAAGAACATAACTCCCGCCTGCAGTCTTGCAAGGGGGATCCCTGGCTGGCAGCTGTGTTCGGGGTTTCAGGTTTCGGGCACACTAAACGTAAACTTTTGCGACCACAGACCCTGCGCCCGAAATAGGAGACGTATATCCGGAGCCTCGACGACAGACTCTAAATCTTGAGCTCTACACGAGAACCCTGGGGCCCTGAATTTACATACATTGCACAGGGTACAGTGGCTCGGATCTATGCCTTTTAGGGTCTTGGTTTGTTCTGTTTGCGTTCAGGGGGAGGCTTACGGGCTCAAGGACTGACTTCCAAGCTGGGCTTCCCATTCTTCTGAGAAGGAGTCAAGGAGAGGTCGTTGCCGTTCTTAACTTGTTGTTAGTTCGAAGTTATACTGCCGTCGTTGTCGTAGTGATTACGACTGTGGCGTTGCTAGTCGATACTAAGTACTGCTGTATATTTCCACTCAGTATTCCTGTCCACACTACTGTGTTGTTTGTCTTCTTCTTAATCTTAATGTAATGAAATATGTTTCTTTTCGGTCTTACTGTTATTCTGGTTGCAATTCGTGAAACCCCATCTTAACGCCTCGGCAAATCTTGACACCAGGATTTTCAGAAGTGTCAGAAAGAGCTGAATGCCAAAGGCGCCAGGGCAGAAGAAAGTGGACTTGTTGAAGTTACGGCAAAGATGCTATTGTTTTGGGGGTCTGTCTTGGAGTTCATACGGAGTTGGTTTGGTGTTCGAGTTCTTGAGGTTTAGCTTTTTGAGCTCTGAGGCAAGGCTTCGGCGTTAGTGGCAGGATGTAGGGACACTTGGGCATTTAGGGTCGTTTGGATCATTGGAGGCTTGTACCTGTAGGAGCGTAAGAAAGGGCATCACGGGATCACAAATAGAAGGGCTCAGAGAGTCAAGGAAGATCCCATGCCAATTCCATTCACCCCAATTCGGGTGCGTCTTTGGACATACTAGACCGCGTGAATAGCATGGCGCGTAAGTAAGTCGAGTAATCTTTCGCAATAATTACCCTCCTCGAAAAGCCGAAGAACGCTACGCCGCTGCACCTACACCCGATAAGGTAAGTAAGTCGAGTAATCTTTCGCAATAATTACCTTCCTCGAAAAGCCGAAGAACGCTACGCCGCTACACCTACACCCCATAAACCAGAATCAGTGTGTTCGGCTTCGTGTTTGGCTCTGCCTTGGAGTATAATTCCGTAAGCGGCTTGTAGGAGCCGAACCAAACTCCTAACATCCCCGTTGTGCGACCTTCCTGTTTATTCTACAGACCCTGCCTCAACATGTCTGAGAAGCATTGATGCAGGGGCCTAAATAATTACCTCTTTTATTTTTATTGGGGGGGGGGTCCTTATTATAATTATAGTATAATGGGCCCAAAACCCTATTCTAATCATTTAGGCCCCTACAGTATATCAAAGTTCCGAAACCCTGACCCAAGCCTGCAGTTTCTCGCCCTGCCAACTACGAAGCCCCCACGATGTTTACTTGATTTTCTCGCTAGGGTTGAGGGGATGTTGACGGTCCAGGGTTTGCAGCAGGGTGTTTTTTTCGACGGTTCGGATGTCTCAGTTGTAGTTTCGGTTTTTTGGTGGGGTTCTGCGAAGTTGATCAACGGTCCTATGAGAGCAAGTTGGAACATCCAAAGAGGCCCAGCATTGGAGCGTTTAGGTAATTAGAGCACAAGCCGCTGAAGTCTTCGATCCTGACCCTGCTCCAGGCATCGAGCTCAATGACCTGCGGCAGGACATTTCCGCAACACAGCAGCTTGCCCGCATGGCAGGGCCTGGGTAAGGCTCTGGTTAGCCTTCTAGTTACGAAGGGTAACGATATCCATGCAAGCAAGCCTGTAGAAACAGCTACATAAACGTATCAGTTGCAGTGGGGAAAGAGTTTGTGCCAGAAAGCCTGTTTTGGTTAGTCGTGGGGAACACTAGCTGTTTGATCAATGCCCCATGCACAACAAGTGGCAACGATTGCGACGAGGACAGTAGAGTTCGTTGCGTAGTACTGTAGTAACTGTTCACCGTTCTACTCTTCATAGTCACTGTATCTTCTTATGCTTGTAGTACTTCGTAGGTTCTACCCTCGGCAGGAAGAGTGAAGTGAAGGTAAATGATGCTCCCACGACAACCCTGTTCCATCTTCCGGTTGGCTCGAACATAACCTGGAGGTTCGCAGGTGGTCCACGGTAGGTTGCACGACTTGAGGCTTCATGTGGCCTTACTTCCAACCCTGCCCATGAGCAATGTATAGTTAGGTAGAGACTTTAACAAATCCATGTAAGTAATTATAGTTAAATGCCAAGATATCCCACATCCAAATACTCTTGTGAAATGTAAGCTAAATTTAAGTCCTACGTGAGGCCCAAGGAGGCCCAAGGGCCTCCCCTTTTAAGTGCCAGCGGTGGGGAAGACAGACAAGGAGACGGCTGTCCCGCATCGATGGCAACGTGGACATCATGCAGCAGCTTGGTGCTGTCGGGATTTGAGGCTGCTCTCTGGCCGTGTAGGAGATGTAGTTCATCAAGCTTACCGTTTTTGCGTTTCGGGTTATTGGGGTGTAGTTTACAGACTATTTCCAGCCATCGCTGGCATTTGTAAGCTTTCGAAATCGAGCATCCGTCTGACTAGTGACTTGAATTGTTGTGCCTTGGCATGCATCCACGGCCCTCATGGACGGATTTCAAGCTCATGCCAATACATCCTAGGCTTGTAAGGGCTCAAATTCGCGCTCAAGGATGCTCTAGTAGCAGCTACTCACGAAGGCATGTGTTTGGGTGCGAAGTTTTAAAAAGAAAACACTTTTTTCGTTACAAGCCCTGGGCCCTGAACCAGATGAACCAAAACACGCTTCAAACCAATACACCCTTCATGTGCCAAAAGCCCGCAAACCTTATGCCATGTCCAGAACCCCTAAAGCCCTAAATTCCCAGCGCCTTAACCTGTCACATTCGTAGAACCAAGAATGCCCAAATCCCAGGGAGTACTAACCCCACAATGACAAGCCCCATAAAAACCTATGTCTCAGCCCAGGAAGTATTTCACGGGCTTCGGCAAGGGCCTCCAAGACACTTCGCGATGCGTCTCCTCTCGGGAGCGTTTGGGCAGCAGGGCGGGCGGTTCTTTACCTAGGGCTAGAGATCCCTCCGAACATTAAGGCTTCACTGGGGTTCCTAGCATAGCATAGCATAGCATAGCATACGTACCATACATATACAAGTACATATATATATATATATACACATGTATCTACGCTTATACATATTTTAGTGATACTCTTGGATCCCAAGAAGCTGGCAAGGCCAAAGTCACCAAACTTGGAGCCCGAAAGCCGGCTTTGGGCACATGACCCTAGACCCTCAGCCCTGAACCCCAAACGTTCAGAGGTTCCCGCCCGTGGCGCTTATTTCCGAAGCGAGAGAGACATTGAGAGAGAGATAGAGAGAGAGAGAGAGAGACAGGCCCTGCAGAAAGAAAGAAAGAAATAAAGAGAGAGACAGAGAGCGACAGAAAGACAGCAGGAGAGAGAGAGAGAGAGAGACAGAGACAGAGACAGAGACAGAGAGAGAAAGAGCGAGAGAGAGAAGAGATCCTATATGCCCTACATGTGAAGCTCCGCTCTGAGAGCCGTCCTAAACCCTGCACCTTGAGCCCTGCCAGCTTCCTCCTGAACCCTAAACCCAGGGACCCATCGCCCCAGAGTCTACACCTGTGGATCCCTTAAAGGAGCCTTTAAAAGGAACCTTCAATACTGCAATGCCCTAATTTGAACCCTATTGAACCCTAAAAACCCTTATGCCTCCCAGCATGCAGGACACCTTTAACACGCCACGGACATCGCCGCAGCGGCCGCACTCGGCGACCGTTTCCACAGGTCGGCGATGCTTTGGGCTCCACTGCTGTTGAGGGTTTTGAGGGCTCCTTTACGGGATCCTGCAGGAAATCCATATAACGTCTACAGATAAGGGTTTACAGGGACTGAAGGGTTTAGGGTCCAGTTTTGTTCGGGGAGTGCTTCGGGGGCTTTCGGGTTAGGGGCTGAGCAGCTTGTGGGAATCCTTCGAGATTTTGAGGACCGTGCAGGCTGCCGGATTGGACACCCAAAACTCGGATCCCTTAGGAATCCAGGGGGTCACAGCATACTGTGAACCCGTGTCGCTCTTGATGCTTTCGCTGTTTGAGAGGTAGAACGAGTAACCAGGTTCCTGCATTATTTTGTTGGGCTTGAAATAGAAGCTTCATTCCGAGCGGCCCTCGCATGACGAGCGGATGTGACTGGGCAGGGCTGCCATCGCTGCCGGTTCGCTCCGACTCGCCCACCAGGCGGGCTTTTGGGCATGTAGGGCCTTTTGCTTTCAGGTTCGAGCGGCAGAAAGTTGCCGGCATTTTAAGGACCTAGACTACCCAAACCTTCAAATCGAGAAGCGAAACCCTGAAGCCTTAACAACAACAGCTTGAACCCTACGAACCCTCTCAGTTCCCCCAAGAAAAGGCAGCGTCCGTGGAGCTCGATAGAGCGCACCACGCGCGATATTGACGACCTCTGAAAAGGAATCTGCGGAGGGCTTCTTGCTGGTACCACGGAGTTAGGGTTTAGGCTTCGTGTGACGCAGGTTTCTGTATCTGGCGATAACCTGGCTCAAGGTTGCTTGTTAGGTACATCGGGATATAGTTTCCCTGGACGGCTAAATGTTAAGCCTTTACCCTAAGGGTCCAGCCCAAGTAGTACTTAGGTACTTCTGTTTGGGATAGTAGTATTGCAGTGCAGTACTTTGGGAGTACATGCGTTTTCGGTACTTTGACCCTTGTGGCCTTACCGTAATGTTTTCGGCTTTAGGGTCCATTGACGTAGCTATTGGTCCCTTCATGATTTTCGCCATGTCAGATCAATCCCACACGGCCCATCTAGTGCAGCCATTCCAACATGCACATAGACCGTCGACGATGGGCAGTTCACGGATCAAGTCAAGATGCCTGCCTTAGGAGGCCTTGCATTGCAAGGCAGATGATCCGTGGAAACTTGGAACTCTTATTACTCACCTATGCATATACGTCCATGCTCCGCTATCTTTTGGGGTGCTGGTCCAGAGGTAGGATTTGGCGGAGATTGAATCATCCCTGACGACAACACACATATGAGGGGCCATCATGCCCTCAACTCTGATCTACAAAACCCTAAACCCTAACTCCTGAGCCCTAGAAAGGTATGAAGTCCCATTTGCAGAGTCCCCGAGCTCCAAATACCGCGTGTCACGCAAGCAGGCTGGCAGGAGGGGAGGTGCAGTTCGGAGTTTCGGATCTTTTAAGGCCCAGGGATTTAGCTATCTTAGGCTCAGGTCCCCCAAAATCACGCGAATCTATGCCTGTGACTCTAAATAAAGTCTCTAAAGCTTGTGTTTTGCAAACTTGAAAGGAACCTGCATTTTTGGCAGTTCTTCGGCTTCGGCTGCTCTCCGACCCTGCTTGTGCCACATGTGCCCTTGTAGATGCCGGCACGGACGCTTCGAACGGTTCTGGCTTCGGGTCTCAGATGTGTTGTAGAGGTTTCTTAGAATGGTTTCCTTCACGTAGTTCCTGAAGGTAGGTGGGGTCGCAATTGCGGTCTGAATTTCTCTCCGTCCGAAGAAGACAACATAAGAAGACTGTGCTTAAAGACTAACCAAAAATCCTCTGCGTGTGTCGTGAAAAGTTGCTAAATAAGTCGTAAGGTACAATAGAGCATAAGTAGGTCGTTGTATGTTAAGGCACGGCTTAGGCCGTAGGGTTGAGGCTCCCAGGTTCCTTTTCGCGGCGCTCCAAGGTTGATCCGCAGGAAATGTGCATGTTCTGCTGGGCTGCTGTTAAGAAACTTAACTTAAGTTGCTATAATAATAAGCAGAAGGAAACCCTACTATTTACGATCTATCTCCATTAGGGTAACTTAACCTAAGTTCCTCAACAGCAACCCAGTCTAGCGGTGCTGCCCGGAGACTCCAATACCTTTGAAGAATGCCCTTGGCTACCATAGGCTACTTAGTAGACCTGCTTGTTGGCGAGTGTCTGCGGCTGAACCCGGCCCTACTGTAAGGGTCTCAGGTTAGACTACCATAACCCTAGGGCTCTAAGTATACAAATAGTGTCTACTTTGGGGTCTAAAGTCTGAAAATAGTACCTACTTTGGGCTATTTAGAGCTGCAGGGTAAGACCGTTGTTTGGTTATTGTCCGAACCTGAAGCCGGCTCCTCGATCTAGAGTCTAGAGTTGGTTCGATAGGAACAAGAAAGGTTATACGGCAGCTTCACACCTTCCGCAGAATGTTGTAGAGGTCCTGAACACCACTCATGTCATAAGTACGTACAATACAAACTACAAAGCAAAGTTTCGACAGCAGAGATTAATAGTGTGGCTCGTGTAACATACTTTTCGTCTCCTCCATACAGACACATAGGATCCTTTGGGATACGGTTTCGGGTGCAAGGTTTAGACAACAGCGGGTCCTTGGTTAATTGGTTAAGGGATATTGGAGTCTCCTCATGTTCAGCACCGACAACTTGAGAATGCTGCCTTTGGATGGGCAGCGGCTTGGGTTTGGGGCAGCGCTTCTTGTAGATGGTGTCACGTCTTGTAGATGGTATCACGGGAATTTATTAAATGAGCTTTACCTAAGCCTCCAAAGTCTTGCTGGTTTTAGGGGTCATATCTGCGTGTTTAAGGGCTACGGATCAACATTGCAGAGTCTGGTTTGGGATCAATCCTTGTTGTCGACGTGTGTGGCAGGTCGTGAACATACAGCAGAGTTCATGCCCGATCCCATGACCTTAGTTTCAAATGCAAAGCCCAGCGCCCTTCCAACACTACCTGCCGACCCTAAATTTTCTTTAAGCCTCCTATAGGCCCGAACTTGAATCCGTAACCCCCGAAGCAAAGGCGGTTTGGCACCCAAGCTTGGACTTCCACCGACATCACCCGTCGTAGCACAATGGATGCACTGTTTATTTTGCGCATTAAGCACCGCTGGTTTTTCAGAACAACGTGAAGGCCTTACAGGTGTGGCCATAGGTAAACAACAATAATTCCAGAAACATGAAACATGTGAGTGTATACATCAGATAACTATACATGTATGTACATATGTACGTCGTTAAATCTGCAGTTGCACACATGCTTACTCTCGTCACGCCATCAGACCCAGACCATCCTGACCACCCGCGAAGAAACCCGCACCACTTCTGGTGGCTCTCGAGCCGACTGCACAGCAATGTCTGAGAGGATCGCCGGCAGTATGACTACCGTGCATCGGGCCCGAATATCACCGTACTGTGAGGAGCATGCGGCCGAAAGCCCTCAAACACCCGCTATTGATTCTGCAAAACTTCCCCTCAAATGTAGAACAGATGAAATCGGTGTACAGCTCGGGAGATGGCTTGGTTAGGCCCTTGCACATATTCTACTCCCTTGAGGCTCTACAGTTTAGCACGAGATCGTCACTAAACTAAGCTTCCGCTGATTCCGCTGAGCCGGTTCGTGACATGCCTCCAGTCAATGCCACAGGAGGGTTTGCTCAAGCCATGTCCAATGCGGCTTCAGGGCTCAGTCCTATACACCACATAAGAGACTCCGAGCTTCAGTAGCCAGTCGTAAAGGCCTAGCCTAAACCTCTGAAGCCGAGCCAACTAGTCGAGGGTGTAAGGCTTAGGGTGTTTTGTTGGCCATGCTGGCGCTAAAAAGACCCTTACTTCATCAGCAGTATGGGTTTAGCGAAGTTTAATTGGTGGGCTTGGTCTTGGCATGGGTTTGAGTAATGGTATCAGAAAAGAGAGTCAACCTTGACGCAGCCTGAAACCCGCAAGTACATGCCAGGACTTAGAAGACCATGCTTATATCCTGGTGCCCGGTTTTGTACATTGTAGTGACTCCCAGCGCCACGCATCCCTAGCCATGTTCCATCTCTCTGGATCCGGTTTGGGTCATTGGGAGTTTCAACTGATAACGGACCCGGTAGTGAGACTGAGAGGTAGGCTCTTTATTCATGCAACAACCCCTAATGCCCTAATTTGAGTAAGCCCCCCACAACGGCCTCTCATCCTGCACATTTATCAAGAGGCCCTTTCGTAGTCGGTAACGGGAAGCGATGCAAAGCCTAAGAGAGGACTCCACCATGTAACATGGCCGAAGACACCGAAGTACATCGGCGGTTATTGGCTTCGTGGCTGAGTGTTGGGGTTCTATAGCAGTCTTTACACGTGCAAGTTGAATAATGCTTTGGAGCACGGACATCCATTACAAACATATGCATGCATATCCACCCTCTTACTTGTACAGAGGACATTTCTTAAAGATTATCCCGGTCGTGCAAGTAAACCTACTTATCGTCGAGCATAAAGCCCTCGAAGAGGCTCTTATAACGAATATGTGGGGCTTACCGTGGACTTGAAGGTTTAGGGCTCATGGTTTATGTTTTTTTAATGTTTTTGTTTGCTCTAGATCGGGATCGTTACCAAACAAATTCCAGCGCCAAACCCTGTTAAAATTGTTAAGCGGACTTTACATTGTGTGCGTCATATCTGGGTCCTCAGCTGCGCCCCCTGAGACTTGGAGCCCAGCTCGGCAGTTCAACATCCATTGCCTTTGCGCTGCGAAAGAAGCAAAAGAAGCTGGCTTCCAGATGAGGGGCTTAGTCTAAGACTGTGTATGTATGTATAATGTGCATACAAAAGGTGTAGCCCAATTTCCCAACTAGTGTTGTAAGGCTTGTAGTTAACAAAGGTTTTGAGTTGGACTTAGGGTTTAGGAGTTGCGAGGATCAACCCCGCTAGTTCACCCCACTTCTTAAATTAGACCCGAAAGCCTAGACCCTAAACACCTAGAGGAGCCTCAAAGCGCTCGCAAAATACTTCCTCCCCACCAACTATGCAACAACAGACAATTGTGAGCTTGTGTTTGTGTGAACCCACCCAGCTCCATGTTCTCAGAACATGCCCCACCACCACCACCTCCACAACGTCCTCACCCCCCCCCCCCTCCCCCCCGGCACGATCAACCCACAACCAGAAGATGCCAGCAGGGCTACAGCGACTGGAGGAGTCGTTGGGCCCACAGGCACTATCCCCGAATTGGGATTCGGGGTTTAGAACTTAGGTGGTTTGGGTGTTCTGAATTCTTGTTACAATGATAGGATTTTACTTCAATCATTACAATGAGTCTAACCTGACCGATCCATGATGGTTGTCTATATAGATCCTCCAGGCGAAAGTTTCTGACATGTTCCCCGGCTTTGAAGACATAAGGTTTGGGGTTGATGTTGAGGGCATGATGGTGTCCCCGCGGAAGTAGCAGCAGCAGTAGCAATGAATAGTAGTCGTCGTAGTACTACCGCCAGCCCGTCAGTACAGCGCTTGCAGCCCTGAGAGATTTTGAGGCCCATCCATTCAGATCCCAAGAGGAGAAAAGACTAACTATGCCGGCCGAAATGCCAACATTCAAAAGCAACGGAACAAGCCCGGCATGTGAGTAAAGCAACTGCGACCTTTCACCCTAAACCCCTACAGCACAGCACCCCCAAATCTCA